GAGATATGTATGAAACCAACGTGAATACAAAAATATTTTTCCAACTGTTTCCAACATTGATAATAAATCAGCATATTAGAACGATTTCTGAAGATCACGTGACACTGAAGACTGCAATAAAGATGCTGAAAATACAGCTTTGATCACAGAAATAAATCACAGTTTAAAGTATATTAAAATAGAAAACCCTTATTTTAAATGGTAATAATTTTTCACAATATTACTGATTTTACTGATTTTTTATCAAATAAATGCAGATTTCTTTAAAATACTTTAAAAATCTTACTGATCGCAAACTTTAAATGACGCCTATGGGATGTCCCCATAAAACATGGAAACACAACATGTGTGAGAGTGCGTGTGTGTGTGTGTGTGTGAGGGGCTGGACAGCTCTGATTCTCCAGCATTGTGTCTGAGAGCGTGGAGATGTGCTGCTCATTTTAACAGCAGGAGCTCAGTGTGTGTGTGTGTGTGTGTCTCTATGGGACGGATCGCAGCTCCTCTCCTCACACAGATCTCCTCTAGAAGCTCATCCACACTGACAGGTGAGAGATCTCCACACCTTCACTGATCTATGAACGTGTATTTGGAGCAGGTGTCCGTTCTTTACTTCTTTACGTTTATGCATTGGTCAGATGATTTTATCCAAAGCGACTTGCGTTCAGGATAGATGTGATCAGTTCATGCATTCCCTGGGAATCGAACCCATGACCTTAGTGTTGTTAGTGCCTTGCGTTTGAGCTACAGGAACTATAATACAGAAACAGTAATAATATTTTCAGGTAAGAGTTTATAATGTCTTGCTGGACAATTAACTGAAGATCTCTCCAACGATGACTAGATTTCACGTGACTCTCATTCTTGAATAAAGGAGATATGCAGAAATGTGTCTTTGCACAATTCTGCTGTCATTCAGCTTTAATAATTGTCTAAATATTAAAATGAAGAATGTTTGTGAGTTTAGATATGGTGCCATGGTTATATGGCCATGTATTCTCTGGAGTAAGACTAATTATCCCAACCACTGACTGCATGATCTGCATGAAAAAATAAACATGGTATTTTTATATCTTTTATTTTTTAAATTTTATAAATTTTTATTAAAGCTATCTACATTATATCTCAAAATATAGGAATAATATATATACATACATACCATTATTATACATTATGTATATTGATTTTTGAAGATGTTTTAATATGTAGAGGTCAGTGTACATATCTTGTTAATATTTCAGCATTGATTTCTAAGTACTTTCTTCAACCGTTGAGCATTAAATATTGTTTCAATATTGAAACAAGTTACAATATTTCAACCACATTTCATCATTTAAGGTTGGTTTATGAATATGGCAATCATTCAGTGATTAAATATATGCTACCATAATATTGGATAAACTGGTGGGAGCATCACAGAACGTTGAGTTTGTGAATGTGAAGATGCTCTCAGCTGACACGGAACGTTCTCTCAAAGTTAGGAACAAACATTCATTCAGTAACATTAAAACAACATTTGTTCAAAGTTATCTGGTCTTTAATAATGTTCTAAAATGTTATTGATTGTTTATTTTTAATGAAACCTTTAAGTTGGGTGTTCATCTAACATTTTTTAAATGTTGCTACGTGTTTCAGAATGTTCATTTAAAAGTAACGTTCCCATGTTTGCAAAATGATTTTTTCCCCCTTAACGTTCATAACATTTTAAAATGTAACATTTTTCAACGTTCAGAGAACTAGGTTTTCATAACTGAACGGAAGGCGTTTGTGTAGTTGAATGTTTCCCAACACTGTGAATGTTTCCGAATTTTTCTGTACGCTGTGAATGTTTCTGGATCTTTTTAGAACGCTCTGAATGTTTCCGAATGTTTCAGAATGCTCTGAATTTTTCCGAACGCTCTGAATGTTTGTTTCCGAACGCTCCGAATGTTTCCCAACGCTCCGAATGTTTCCGAACGCTCCGAATGTTTCCCAACGCTCCGAATGTTTCCGAACGCTCCGAATGTTTCCCAACGCTCCGAATGTTTCCGAACGCTCCGAATGTTTCCCAACGCTCCGAATGTTTCCCAACGCTCCGAATGTTTCCCAACGCTCCGAATGTTTCCCAACGCTCCGAATGTTTCCCAACGCTCTGAATGTTTCCGAACGCTCCGCATGTTTCCCGACGCTCCGAATGTTTCCCGACGCTCCGAATGTTTCCCGACGCTCCGAATGTTTCCGAACGCTCCGAATGTTTCCCAACGCTCTGAATGTTTCCGAACGCTCCGAATGTTTCCCGACGCTCCGAATGTTTCCCGACGCTCTGAATGTTTCCCGACGCTCTGAATGTTTCCGAACGCTCTGAATGTTTGTTTCCGAACGCTCTGAATGTTCCCGAATGTTTCCAAATGCTCTGAATTTTTTCCGAACGCTGTGAATGTTTCTGAACGCTGTGCCGTTCTCTCTCTTCAGTGCCGATGGCCTCCTCCGCTCGGATCGCGTGCGCGCTGCTCTTCATCTGGGTTCTTCTTCTCTCGAGTCCCACCGAATCCAAGCGGAACCGAGGCGCGATTCCTCACCCGGACAAGAACAACCCGAACGAGTCGGACCAGCAGCAGCAGGCGGCCTCGGGCTCCAGAGGCAGGAGCCGGGGCTCGGAGGAGGTTCTGGAGTCGAGCCAGGAGGCGCTGCATGTCACCGAGCGCCGCTACCTGAAGCGCGACTGGTGCAAGACGCAGCCGCTCAAACAGACCATCCACGAGGAGGGCTGCGTCAGCCGCACCATCATCAACCGCTTCTGCTACGGACAGTGCAACTCCTTCTACATCCCCAGACACGTGCGCAGAGAGGAGGGTGCGTTCCAGTCGTGCTCGTTCTGCAAACCCAAGCGCTTCACCACCATGACCTTCACCCTCAGCTGCCCCGGCCAGCAGCCGCCGACGCGGAAGAAGCGCGTGCAGCGCGTCAAACAGTGCCGCTGCGTCTCCATCGAGCTGGACTAGACCCGAGAGCGACGCGTCAGTAAGAGCACGCGAGTACTAGACACGCTTGATCTGCTGGAGCTCGCGGAAGAGACGCATCTGTCACCGTTACACACTACTAGTCACAGATTCAATGTGTGATGATGATGATGATGATGATGATGCTTCTCCTTTCACTCCTTCTTAAGCTCGTCTACAGACTCATTTTCTGGCATCAAGATGTTTAGGAACGTAAATCCAGTTCACTGTGTCTACATTTTAACTAGTAGTGCACGTCGGTAGTTGACATGAAAGTGTCGTTTTTAATCTACATTTATTATGATTATTAAACATGCGGTTTTATGAGCTCACTAACCTAACTGAGAGATGCATGGGATAATTATACTTTTATCAACTGCAGGATTATTGAACACCAGTAAGAACTGGAAGAAAAAAAGCATCTAAAAATGGTCAAAAAGCACCGAAGATTAGCAGTAGGCCTACATGTGGGAGTTTGATCTAAAACATGTCATACTTCATCTAAAACTAACGCTTCAAACAGCATTTAAATATTTTTGATGATTATTAAACATGCAGTTTTTTGAGATCATTAATTGAGAGATGCATGCAGTATTTGTATATTTATAAACTAACTGCAGGAAGAAAAAAAGGCACCTAAAAATGGTCAAAAACCAAAATAAAAAAGATTTTGCATTCATTTTTTTTTTTAATATTTAAAAATCCTAATACATTTTGACTAGTAGTGCACATGGGTAGTTGACATAAAAAGTGAAATCTTTTTAAATCTAAAACTAGAGTTTTAAATAATATTTTTTTATGATTATTAAACATGCAGGGTTTTTTTTAGCTCATTTGAGAGATGCATGAAGTATTTATAAGCAAATTTTAACTGCAGGATTAATGAACACCAGTTAAAAAATAAATAAGTAAATGGCCAAAAATAGTCAAAAAGCACCTAAAAATATCGAATGATCAATAACACTCATTTAATTTCATTTGACTGGTCACAGAAATAATTTTGCATTAATTTTGCACCACAATTATTTAAAGCTCTAATACTTTAACAAAATAATAATACTTTCTAATGCAAATTTTGACTAGTAGTGATGTGGGTAGTTGTCATACAATATTTAAATATTCTTTTATGCTTATTAAACATGCATTTTTTTGTGCTCGTTAATTAACAGATGACGCATGAAGTATTTATACATTTATAAACCAAGTTCAGTTGCAGGAACACCAGTGAAAAACAACCAAAAAAGCACAAAAATGTCAAATGATCACTCATTTCACTTTTAAAAATCCTAATGTTTTCAATTTATTTATTTAGGTTATCCTACATTTTTGGTCTTAAGGCTTTTGGATCTTGCTGTTGAGAGAATGCACATTCATGCACATATTATTTATCAGCTACTCGTATGCTAGAGAGCTTCCAGGGCAACTCTACATGAAATCTGTCCTGAACTCTATGCTGTAATGGTGACAGAAGCAGAAGAGCATCGTTCATTCATCTCCAAATCTAGAATTACGGGAGTTTAAGGACTGATAGTTTCCACTATGTGGAACGACTTTATGAGACACTGCTCTTCTGGATTGCTGTGAGTTTCTTCATGCTATTCGTCTATTTATAATATCAGCCGTAGAGGAAAAACAGTGAAAGATTTGGTTGTGAAGAGCAAAGGATGTACAGATGTTGTGTATAATGTGCTTCATTCATTTAAACGCATTGTTCCTCATATATAATCTATAAAGTACATATTTTGATTTGCTTGTTGGATCATTTATAAGACAATAATAAGTTCATGAAGTGAGTAAAAACAAACAGTGAGCATTTAAAATAAGACGTTTTGCTTTAGAGGAAAAATTTCTAATGCATCAAAAACGGAATAACTCTTTGAAAACGTATTAGAAATTGAGGTGATTACGATCTATTATAATCCAAGGTTTTTAAAAATGATTCAAATCAAGTGTGATTTTAACGTAAATACTTTTTAAGAAATCAGAAGACACATTTGAGTTTTGAGAATCTTACGTTTCATTTTGCAGACACTGATGTCCGTTTATTGCACCTAATAAATGTACATGTTGTCACAGGAAATTAATAAAAAAATGTCAATAAAATCTGACACTGTATTAATGTTCCAGGAGGTTTTCAACACATCTGGGCCTGAAATAACTGGATAAATTACAGAATTCATTACACATAAACCAACAGGGAAACATTATAATTTTCTGGCATCCTCACAACATTATATCCCTCAATAAAACCTTCGTTCTGTGAATAAACAGGACTTTGACTCACTCATTTACGCATGAAGATGTAGTCGCACACTCACTGTAGGGTAAATATGATTCGTTCTTCATCATAACATACATCAGTAGTTTTCTCACATTTAATGCATGGATATGATTTGCACATTTCTCTTTTGAAACGGAGGATATTGCATAGGCTCCACGAGTGAGGAGTGTAAAAGTGCTTCATTTTGGCAAAAGTAAAAAATGTGGTGAAACACCGAGGCAGAAGCGAGTGACGCCATTCAAGTCCAAACACAGATAATATAAATGAGGCCCTGTTTGAGGAATATGAGGCACTGCTGATTCTGATAGATATATTGATGTCAGATGTTTCTTGCCATCAGCATATGTTTAATAGGACGGTTCTCTCGTGCTGAAGTGGCTCCACACACTCGATGCAGTATTTCGGGCTGTTTTCTGGTATATCTGATGATGGAGTGATCTGAAATGATCCTTCAGATCCTCAGCAGATCCTCTGAACGAACACAAACAGCATGCATCTGTTTCTGTCTCAGCTGGACGACACGCCGGCTTCTTTCTTTCGCAGTCGCTCTTTCTGTCAAACAGGGTTTTACAAACAGTTTCATGCATTTGGTCGAGGCTTTTATCCAAAGCATTGCATTCAAGCTACACATCTGATCAGTTGATGCATGCATGGGAATCCAACTTAATGACTGATCATTCAATAAATCTGTAATATCAGGATCTGAAAGCACAATTCAATCCACTTCCACAATAATAGTCAGTTTTAGTACACCGGTATTTGTCATTTGTTTCTAGTGAGTTCAAATATGTCTTTTTATGCTCAAAATTGTGTGCATTTTAAATGATTCTCTCCTTCAGAAGTGATATTTGTGTTGTTTTTGGTGAGAAAATGATTAAACTCTGCATTATTCCTGTGTGTGTGTCTGTAGGTGTGTGTGTGTGTGTGTGTGTGTGTGTGTGTGTCTGTAGGTGCGTGTGTGTGTTTGTGTTTGTGTGTGTGTGTGTGTGTGTGCGTGTATGTGTGTGTGTGTGTGTGAATGCAAGAGCAGAAATGAAGAATGGATTTCACTGCCGGCTTCATTCGAAGCATCATCCGCATGAACACATGCAATAGAATTATTCTCATTATAGAGCGTGTGTTTAGTGAATGTAATAAAGCTGTGTGCTTGTGTGTTTTCTCACTAGACTGTTTGCGTTGGTCTTCTTCGTCTCCACTTTCTTCTCAGCTGTGATTTTCTGGACCGTCTGCTGAGCTTCTTTGAGTCTAAAATAAAAGAGTGCATCATTTATATGACCGCAGATGAACATTCTGAGTCAACTTTTCCTGTTATACAAGCTGTTTTTGTTTTTAAACTTCACTAAGGTTCATTAGATTTATGCTTAAAATGAGAAAACAGTACGGAGAAACGAAAATAAACCCAACTGATGGATGATATCTTCTCTAAAACGTGGCATTTCTGCCTCTCAAGTAAATGTTTGGATATTTCGACTGAAAAACAAGAGCGGCAGAGACTAATGAGAGTGATTTTTTGTGCATTTCTAAGTGCGAACTGAATATTGGCTGTAGGTTTGATCTGTAAAAGCTTCACTGAAATCAGAGACGCTGCCAAACGAATTGTGTGGGCAATTAAAAATAAGAAGAGCATTAAAGACTAGATTTGTCTTTGACTGTGGATTATTGTGATGTTTTTATCAGCTGTTTGGACTCTCATTCTGACGGCACCCATTCACTTGCAGTGAGACACTGATGCAATGCTGATGAAGACACAAACTCATCCTGATCTCTGATGATCTGAGGGTGAGTGCATTTACAGCACATTGTTATTTTTGGCTGAACTATTGCTCTAAACGGGTCCAAACACGGCTTTAGTCTCTAAACTTCATTGTGAGATGGATGGTCCTCACCTCTCTTTGGAGATGTTTTTATTCTCTCGGTTCCAGGTGCTCTTGAAATCATTGCAGAACTCGTACCACAGCATGAAGATGAAGTTTGGAGAAACCTCCTTCTCTCCAGGCTTGGGTTTGAGCCCGAAGTACATCACCATCTCCTGGAAACTACACAAAAAACAGGGAAAGTCAGTCAACATGATATCTGTCCTCACGAGAGAATCAGAAGATGCCATATTTTACAGTCAAACAAGCATATTTGTAGGTAATAAATTTGGGTTATAAAACTTTATTTTTACCTAAAATATAATGTTATTTCAACATGTATGTGTAATATTATAGGAACATTAAAATGTCTGGTTTTCTGGAGCATAAAATGCAAAAAAAGTGTGTAAGCGGGTCAAATGCATTAAGATGTCCGCATCAAAAGAAATGTACAAAAGTGATTTTATGTCCATAGAAAGCACATTAAATGTAAGCAAAGTGTCTACTTTGAAGGTTTCAAATACGTTTTTGGAGGATACAATGTTACAATTTGGTTGAAATAATGTTACAGTGTCATTCAGTGTAACACAATATTTATGTAGAAATTCAAACAACATGCTTATTCTGACGTGTAGATATTAAAATATATATAAAAGAATGAGTGAGCATATTAAATTTTATTGTGTTTTAAATGAGTAAAAAATTATTACTGACAAATGGGCAAAACCTAGGATAGTGGCAAATTTAAAAAATGTAAAATGACAACTAATTAGTATTTGGGGTGAAAGCAATTAGTCTTTTAATGTGTCATAAATTGATTTTTTGTTGTAAATATGTCTGACAAGATTGTTACACTGAATGACATTTTAGCGGGTGTCTTCTGTAAATCAGGGGAAATGTATGATATTTATTTTTTGCTTGGAAAAACAAACACAAAACTGCAATTAAATTAAATTATTTTTACATTTTTTGGGAAAAACAACAACAATTTAAAGCAGTATTACACATTGTTTTTATGCTTAAACCCTTTTTCGTCTTTGACCCGTAACTCAATATAAAACTCTAAGAAACAAATAAGATCCTATAGGTTCAACTAAAACTTGTTTCTAGGAAGTTTTTTATTTGACTGGTTTAAAACTAACAGAGTTTTTGCCAAGGATCTCATTATAATGAACAATTTTTCTTGTTATAAATCAGAGCGGGAATGTCCAGCTGCTGGTGTGACGTATGATCAGAAGATTTACTCCCATTCAGAGGAAAACAGCGTGACAAGAAACTAAACACAATGTGCCGTTAGTGGCAGAAAATCACGTTCAGTGGCCGCAAATCAAGTGGAGCGGCGAGATTAACGGTTACACGTGTGACGGATCACACATGACATGAACCGAGGAGAAACTCGATGGAGCGTTAAACACACACACGTCAGGAGCGCTCAGGTGCGGATCAGTGCTGTATGACACAATCATCAAGCTCCTGACGGCAGGACGGATATATTACAGCGGTCACAAATTGAAAATAAAATAAAATAAAATAAAATAAAATAAAAATACTAGATTCATCAATCTCCTGATGGCAGGAAAAAAATAATTCCAATTCCAAACAAATACATTACAGCAATTAAAAAAAATATAAAATTATAAAAATAAAATTATAAAATGAAAATGTTTTAGAATATATTAGAAAAATATATCATTAGAATAATATATTTGTGAAAAATAAAATAAGGCAAAATAAAAATAAATAGCATATCTTAGAAGACCATCAAGAATATAATAATTAATAAATATATAATGATAGTTTATAAAATAAAATAAGATAAAGTCAAAAATATGACAATAAAAATTAAATTAAAAAAATATTAATTATAAATTATTAAATTATTTATAAATTACTTAAATATAGCTGAGAACATCAATCAATCAATAAGTTATTAGAAAAATTCCTCTCAACTTTAAAATTCCCTGATAATTCCAGGTTTTTCATGATTGTGGGACACAAAAAATATAAAAATATATCTTTATACACAAATCCTAAAAAAATGAAATTAAAATTAAAATCACTAAATAACTAATGGTAAATGTAAACACACAACCACACATGTTCTGTTTTACTAGAGTAAATAATTTAATCTTTAAGATAAAGTGCAAACTAAAACAAACTACACACACACACACACACACACACACACACACACTTACTCACTCACACATATCAAATATTAATTATAAGAACGTTCCATAAATGTTACATTAAGAGCGCTTTGTTCTAACATTTGTATAACGGTGTGTGAGAGCTGTGAGAGTGTTCCCTGTCAGCTGGTTTGTCAGATCAAAGCGCTGATCATGTTTAGTGTGTTTGCCGCAGAGGACGAGCGTGGAAAGGTGACTCCCTCGGGTCGGGACACATGTGGATGCCCACCCAGGTCCGGACGATCGCCCGCGGTCCGAATCCATCACTTTAACGAGGTGCGTTCATGGGAACTCTGAGACTTACTGCTGCTCCTGCTCCTTCTCCAGGAGCAAAGTAAAGGGAAATGAAGCGACTCTCGAGCTGCCGGGCTCTTTTGATCAATATTAGCCAATTCAACACCTTCATTAACGTGGAGTCGAGCGAGGCGTCCGTTCTGCTCTTTCAAACGCCACCACGTCGACATCTGCAGTTTATACGTGAGTGTGTGTGTGTGTGTGGTGTGTGTGGGTGTGTGTGTGTGTGTGTGTGAGTGAGTGTGTGTGTGTGTGTGTGTGTGTGTGTAATAATCAATATGCTTTGTTTGTCCTTTTCTCCTCTATGAAAAGTTCCAGATATTTTCCATCGTGCAGCATCTGGCAGCCGAAGCTTGCACATAAATCAGCACAAACAGTCTGCAGTGTTACTGAACACACACAATAAGAGAGTGCAAAGCTAGAGCACTTGAGCAGGCTCTCTGATTAGATCTCATTAGTCATGATGCTGTCTATATTATCACACATCATCTGCTGGTGTTTCTAACCTCTTCTGTGCCGCCTGCAGCCGCTCGTCTTCAGTCTCATACTCTGATTGTGCTGCGAACGACAACATAACAAATCATCCACAACAGAGAAATGAGCTGCACATCAGATCATCACAGGAATGAAAACACAAGAGATCTTTAACTTATTTTCATTATTCCTTCAATGAGATCAATGAGACCCTTGCTCCAGCTTCTCATGATGTTTTAACCATAAAAACCATAAAAGAAATAAAAAAAATGTTACTTGAAATACAGTAAATATTGAAAAGAAAATTAAACTTCTATTTCAGCAATTTGGCAACATGCCTCATTTACATTTAGTTTAATCTTAAGTACTAAAATAACAAAAACGAAATAAACGATCTAGATATATACATGTATTAGAAAAACAAAAACTAATAAAAATGACAAAAACACACAACAAAATTACCAAAACTTTAACTTAAATTAAAGTGAAAACAGAAAACATAAAAATAAAATCGAATTCAAAATATTTACAAAACTATAATACATCATTGATACTAAAATAACACTCAAACTGTGCTCAGATGAGCCAAGATACATAAAGTCTGACATCATAAATCAGATATCTCAATATGAACTCAAATATTTCTCACTGTATCTCTGATGTTTCTCCTAAAACAAAAACAGACCCAAATGAGTCCCTATACAGAGATATGTTTATTATTTTTGGAAAAAATGTTTTTATCAAGTTACATTATTCTATTCTACTCAGTGTATTATTTATTTACTTTTCATTTACTTCATTTTAATAAATTTTTATCTATTTATAATTTGTATTTAATTCTTTATTAATTTATTATTATTATTAATTTATTTGTTTATTAACTTATTTAATCTAATTTATTATTAGATTAATAATATTTATTATTTAGATTCACTTAGATTTTACTATTTATGTTTTTATTATCTAATAATTATTATAAAACAATTAAGAATTTATTGTAATCTTATTTTTATTATTTATTTATTTTCTCCTCAGCTCCGTCTGTAAACATGAAACCAGTAGTGGCTAACTAGAAAGTTATGGGACCTGCACGCTGAGCGGGACAATAAATCCAGCCTTTAAAATCGACTCTGTAAAGAGCCTCAGATTCGGGTTCATTATGAAGTGCCGCCGCAAGCGACACGTTGCACTGATCCCCGCTGTAAACCACACGTATAATGATATTAAACCCGTCAATCTACAGCGCTTTCTCACGGTCAATCTCTGCGGTCACAAACACAAGCTGATAATCAGAAGAATTAATGACCACATAAAGCACTAGAATAATAACTCGACACCAGATCCAATCAAACTCTTGAAAAGAACGATAAAAATATCTATATAATACAAAATAAATAATGATATCTTATTTAGGGGGCCACGGGGGAGTATTATGGGATCCATGGGGAAAAACGTGCAAGTAAAAATATAGAAATAAATAATAAAAAAAATGATTAAGATACATTTTTAATTTCTAAAAAATTATTTAAAAATAATTAGTGAATAACATAAATGAATATGTTAATATAAATAAATAAATGTATTTATTATAGTTGCTCTGCACTGTTAAAGGTGCACAACGATATTGCTCGGTTTGTTGACGCTAAGTGCCCTGTTATTCTAGCGCTACTTGATCTCACGGTGGCCTTTGATACAGTGGACCATGAAGTCCTTCTGTCTCGCCTTAATCACTCTGTTGGCATTCGTGGTACCGCACTTCAGTGGTTCTCGTCATATTTGACCAATAGTACCTTTTCTGTAGTGATTGGGGACTCGTCCTCCTCCACCACTTCTCTCTCTTGTGGGGTGCCACAAGGCTCTATTCTCGGACCCGTTTTATTATCACTTTACATGCTGCCTCTCAGGTCCATTATAGCCAGGCATAATATAGCTTTTCACTGCTATGCTGATGATTTGCTAATTTATTTGCCTATGAGACCAAAAAATGCTGACGCAGTTGGGTCGCTAATTGATTGCATTCATGACATTAAACTATGGTTAGAGCAAAATTTCATTCACCTAAATGGAAAAAAGACTGAATATATTTTATTTGGAGAATCTGTAACTTCTGACTTTGATGCGCTGACTTCAAAGCTTAGACCAACTGTCAGAAATCTCGGTGTGACTTTTGATAGTAGCCTGAAATTTGATAAACAAATTGACAGCGTGGTTAAAGCTATTTTTTCAGCTACGCCTTTTGGCCAAGGTCAAACCATTCTTGAATCGCTCTGACCTTGAAAAAGCTATTCATGCTTTTATAAGTTCAAGATTAGATTATTGTAATGCACTTTATGTTGGTGTCTCACAGTCGTCCCTCAGTCGCCTTCAGCTGGTGCAGAATGCTGCGGTCCGTCTTTTAACTAACACGCGCAAACGTGAGCACATCACCCCAATTCTTTATTCGCTCCACTGGCTTCCAGTTTCTTTTAGAGTTGATTTTAAAATGTTATTATTTGTTTTTAAAGCTCTCAATGGCCTTGCCCCACCTTATGTAACTGAGATGCTGGCTTTTCGTCAGCCAAACAAGGCTCAAAATCAACTTTTTCTGGAAGTCCCGAGGTCACGGTACAAATACTGGGGTGACCGGCCTTTTTCTGTAGCTGGGTCCAGACTCTGGAATAAGCTTCCCCCCGATATGCGCACCAGATATACTGACCTGGGCCTTTTTAAAGCTAGACTTAAAACGTATTTATTTAGACTGACTTTTAATATCTAGCAATGTTGTGACATTTTTGTGTATTTTATGTCATTTTTGTTGTTGGCTTATATTTTTGTTTTTATTGCTCTGTTTTTATTGGAAAGCACTTTGGTTCACCTTGAGTGTTGTAAAGGGCTGTATAAATAAATGTTGATTGATTGATTGACATTTATTATAATGGGTTTAAGTTTCATTTAATGCAATTTTTGTAAATAAATAATAAATTATTGTATGATAGTTATTGAATTAATGTAATGCATTAATTAATAAGTTTGTTCTTGCTAGTTTAAAAATGATGGTTTTTCCCAAAATGTATTAAGTTGTTGTTGTTATGCTGTCTGTGTGCAGAGCACAAGAGTGTGAACTCAACACGGTTAGTCGCATGCATCACCACGCTGTATCTGTTCAGTAAGATCAGAGCGCAGCTTATGGTCAAGCATGCCATGACTATGCAGCCCTACCTCACCACCAAGTGCAGTGTAAGTTCAGACTTTCATTTTAACAGTAAACCTGCCATTTTTCAGCACTTTGTATTTGTAATAATAAATTTGTATTAAATAAAAAATGTAGAAAAATTAAAAATGACTGCACAGTTTTATGGAAAAAAATCTCAAAAATAAATAAAAAAAAAAATTTCATAGGATCTTATTATTGTAAATGTAATAAATGATTAAATTGTTAACGTTTCAATAATTCAATTTATTGGACATTTTTTAATTATTAAAATGTAATTAAAGCATTAAAATGGTTTAATTAAAATCCAGAAAAGTTAAGACTGAAAACACAGAATTTGGAAAAAATAAAAACTTTTTGCTGAACTTTTAATAAATTGTTGCTAAATTGTAAATTTTACTGGTTTTAATTAGGCTTTAATTATTAAAATTTAATTCAACCATTAAAACAGAAACCAGAAAATTGAAACAAACAAAAAAATAAAAAGAAATCCAGAAAAATGAATGGAAATGTTTTGAATTTGGGGAAATAAAATAAAATGCATTTCATAGGGCCCCAAAAATGTAAGCTTTGTTACACCTTTAATAAATTGTTGTTAAATTGTAGTTTCATATAATTGTAAGTTAAATGATTTCAATTAATTTGATATGCTTTTTGATTATGAAATGTTATTTAACCATTAAAATGAAATCCAGAAAGACTGAAACTTAAAATGGAACAATAATTGAATTTGTATAAATAAATAAAAATACTGATTTTTAGGGCTGTATGCTAAGCACCTGCCAGTGCAATATTTGAGGTTATTCTGCCATCTTGTGGCCATATACTGCTAATGTTTTAAGATGATATTGTGCCAAGGTATAAGATTGTTTTCATTGATGGTTTTTCTTTTCAGTGTTTATGCATAATGCATTTGTTTATTTACACAGTCTCAGAGTGACTTCATGGTGATTTGTAACGTTGCGAAGATCCTGGAGCTTGTGGTTCCTCTGATGGATCACCCCAGTGAGAGCTTCCTGACCACCATTGAAGAAGACCTGATGAAGCTCATCTTAAAATATGGCATGACCGTAAGTGACCTGCTCTCACCCACTCTTATAAGCAATTCACATATCTGAATTAACATTTTATTTACTTAGCAGACAAAAATGATTCTAGTGTGGTTTATTGTGTATCTTTTTAAAATAATAGTTAAAACATTCATTTGTATGGTTCATTAATCTTAAATTAGATTAACTGACTGGTTGGTCATTTGTTGACATGTAGTTACAGATACACGTTTGCATCCTATTTCTACACATCCCACTAAGTTCTTTCTCCTTTCGCACAGGTTGTCCAGTACTGTGTGAGCTGTTTGGGTGCGATAGTGAATAAAGTGACTCATAATTATAAGTTTGTATGGGCCTGTTTTAACCGTTATTATGGGGCTCTGACTAAGCTAAAGTTACAGCATCAGGAGGGTACGAACAGCATGGCACTGGCTGCCACCAAAGCAGCCCTGCTCAGATCTCTCTTCACTGTGGGAGCTCTCTGCAGACACTTTGACTTTGACTTCGAGCAGTTCAAGGGCACCACTAAGGTATCGCAACCTTTTTCCATTACGTAACCGTTATACGGTTATAGACCTGCATGTAGTTTATGTGCAGCTGTTAGTGCCATGTAGTTGCTTGCTCATTAACTTTAGCTCATTAGAGTTAACAAACACAAATTTCACTGAATCAAGTCTCTATGTATATTTATTTAGCTTTTTTAAACCCAAGATTGCTTGTTAAAAGTTTTTTAAAAATTTATCTACAGATATTTTTTTAATTATTTTTATCAAATATTTGTTATAATTGTCAGTTTTTTATTTTCAGTTTTATTCCTATGATATTGTATGATTTTGTTTCATTTG